CATTCCTAGACCAGGCTTCAACCTTCAGATGATTTTCATACTTCTGCATCTTTGGTCTGGGATCATTCTGACAATGGCAGGTTAGAGAAACTCTCCCACCTGCAATGGATTCTCCAGAGTTGGGGGGGGTGGGGGGACTGCTGCAGAGATGGCTCAGTGGTTAAGAACACTGGCTGCTCTTGCAGGGGACCCAGGTTCAGTTCCCAGCATCCACACGGCAGTTAACAACCATTCATAACTTCAGTTCCAGGGGATCCAGCTCACTCTTCTGGCCTCTGTGGGCATCGCATGGGTACACTTACATACATACAGGAAAAACATTCATACAAATGGAATTAAAATTAAAAAGCCAGAGGTGGTTTGAGTGGCAGTGCTCCTCAGAAGTAGTGATGGGGACAAGATGAGGAAACATCAGAAATGCATTTCATAATCCTAGCATCTTTGGGCTTACTAAAGACTGCCATTGCACACTGCTCTCTGCTAGAGGGAAAATGGATCTTCACAAACACAAATGACTGGGGAGGGGTTGTTAAGGGTGTTGCATGTAGGTGGGAGGGAGAAGCATGTGCCTCGTGGTGCAGTGTCATGGGGGACATTGCTGACCACCAAGAAGCTTCATGAGGTCCTACTACAGGAGGGCAAGTAAGGGAACATAGCTAGCCAGAGTGTGCTGGAATGTTCACTGACGCCAAGTGGAGCAGGAGGGCACAAAGCAGGAGGCGGGAGAGGGGCTCTGTCACTGTGAGAGCAATGGTAGGGTGGAGGAAGGCAGAGTGAAGCAACACGTGGGATTGGTAGGGGCTTGGATGTCTAATAAGAAAAGGAAGCATCAAAAAAAAAAAGTCATCTTCCTGACATGGTCACAAGCGAGAAGAACAAGAGTGCTGTTCTCCTACCCCAGAGAGAGTACCAGAAAACATCAGGCCAGAAGTAAGGAGGAGTTTCATCAGATACTCAACTGCTCAGGGTGGTCTTCATATGAATGGATGCAGTTCAGAGCTCAAAAAGAGGTCTGCACTCAAGAGGGTATTGGAAAACTACATAAAGGCAGGGGATACTAAAGGACCAATGGATACAATGGGAGAAGTAGGGGGAAAACAAGGAACTCTGGCTATGCTGTGGTCTAATGATTATCTTCCAAAACTCCTATGTTGAAACATGGCATCTGACCAAATGGTATTAGGGAGTGTTGCCTGTGGGATATGATTAGGCTGTGAGGGTAGAGCTCTCCTAAATGGGATTTATGCTCTTATGAAGGAGACCCCAGAGAACTGTCCTGTGCCTTCCACTATGTGAACATATAGCAAAAAGGTGGTATAAACCAAAAAACAGAGTTTCGCCAGACAGAGAACCTGCCAGCACCTTTTCTTGGACTTCCAGTCTCCAGAACTGTGAGAAACAAATCTATTGCTTATAAGTCACCTAGCTTGTGGTATTTTGTTACAGCAGCCCAAATGAACTAACACTGGAGATCACAAGATATTCAGGCCTAGATGGAGAAAGACACTACAAAGCAGCAGCCACAGGGGCAGGTAAAGAACCAGAGGCCACATCAGGATTAAGGGGAAGGATTAATCACCAAGCATGAAGGTAGCACCAAATACGTTGTTACTGAAGGAAAAAAGGCCACACACAATTCCTTCACGGTCCCTCACGTTTAGCAACAACTCAGACCTGCATAAAACCATAAAAGCAACCAAAGATATACAGAATATGCAACCTACAAGAGTGGCCACTTTTTAGAGGGCTGCCTCCACACTGTTGGCCAGCAGTCATGATCTAAGCACTTAAAGGATTTTAAGTAAAAGCAGGACATCAGCACTACACAATCGAGTGTTTCTCCATTACACCCACAACTTCACACATGCCCCTGACTTGATGTTTCTCTTGATGTTCTCCCTCTTCTGCAGCCAGCCAGCCAGCAGAATAATAACTGAATGGGATTCTTCTATACATATTCTTTTCAAACAGCCATTTAATTAGATTATGGTAAACTCAAGGTGGGCATTCTGTGAAGACTCAATGCCTTTCCCTGGCTCCTTGAATGATAATCATGGGTTCTGCCTGGAGAGGGGCAGGATAAGACCACACTGTTGAAGCGAGCTGTTCAGTGATGAAGGGAAGAACTCAGCCGCAAAGAAAACTCCTACCACAGCACTCTCCAGTGGAAACAGAATGCCAGCCATCTGTAATGCAAATGCTCTAATGGCCACATCCAAAAGTAAAAGGAAGCAGGTGACTTGATTTTAATAACACATCTTATTTATTCTAATATAGCCAGTGCAGTATATTTCAGCATGTAACCAATACAAAAGATTATGCATGAGATCTTTTAAGGTTCTTTCCCATACTAGGTCCTAGAAATGCAGTATGCATTTTATACTTAACAACAACAGGTCTCAGCTGAGATAGGCCACAGTTCAAACACACACAGCTAGTAGCTTCCACCTCAGAAAGCATAGATCTAACCAGAATCTATGCAGAGGAAAAGAATTCCAACACAATTGGCAAACCCCTAAGAATCATGCCCAAGACTGAGTTTTCAGGACAAGGTAAAAGGAAGGTAATTTCCTTGAGTGGAATAATCAACTTTAAATAAGGATTCCACTGTGAAATCAGAAAACACATCATCAGGAGTGATACAGCTGGCAAAGGAAAAGGCTGCAGGGCATGGCCTTGGGGAGGTCAGCTCCATCCAAAAGGCACCCTGACATCAGGGCCCAATTTCTAATCCTGGTTACTTTTTCATGGTGCTTTTCATTATTCTCATTTAAATCTTCCAATGAACCTATGAGGAAGGCAGGATCCAGTCCATTTCGCAGACGAAGAAACTGAAGCCTCAGCAATTTAAATTATATTCATCTGTGGTCACTGATGTTATACTTGGACACAGAATTCAGGCCACATCCCTGTACCAATTTTTTCAGCAAGCAGCTGATCAGAAACTGCTGAAAAGACCAAAGGGCAGAATCACTAAGCAGGTGCCGCCTAATGATCCTAGAAACAGCACTTCCCTTCTGTGCAGAGCTCATGAGCTTCCAAAACACTTGTGTGTACATATTTGACTTGATCACCAGTAACTGTCCTAAGAACATGCCTAACCATAGCTCAGAGGAGCTGGCTAGTCCACAACCACCCTGGAATCTCATTTCTGTATCCAAATCTCTCCATTGCTCCATGCTGGCTCCCTTGATGATGCCTTTCAAAAAATTTTTTAATGCCAAGGCCACTTTAAAAAAAAAATTAGACAGTCATGGTGATGCATGCCTCTTATCCCAGCACTGGGAAGGCAGAGTTAGGGGGCTCTCTGTAAGATCAAGGCAGGCCTAGTCTATATTGCAAGATCTAGGCAAGCAGAAGCTACAGGGAAATCCTGTCTCAAAATAATAATAGTAATTTGTTATTGTGTTAAGCTGGCATGGTAGCTCATTACTTTAATCCCAGTATCTGAGTGGTTGAATTCAAGGCTACCCTGGGTTACATAGCTGGTTCCAGGCCAGCTTAGACTACAGAGTGAGACCCTGTCTCAAAAAAAAAGATTGTTTTTTCAACCCATTGGATAAGATAAAGATAAGACACAGTTTTAATCAATCATAAAAGTATCATCCTCCCACTCAGCTCTTCAAGGTACTGTCCACTGGGGCCCTGGCCCTTACTAATGTCATACATACACACAAATGACAGAAAGCATCAAGGTGTGTGACTTACCACTTAAGCCCTGGTTGAAGGAGAGCTGACGTAAGAGCTACCTGTGAGGTCTGGTCTTCTATTTGTTTATTACACACACTTCACAGTTTAGACAAACCTACTAATTTGGGAGTTCTTGGCTCTTTATAACTAGCTCGGGTATATGGGCTCCATGAATCTTTGACTGGGCCAGCTATTAAATAATAGCTATTTATAGCCAACATGCTGAGGGTAACCAGTAGGGGGAACCTTGGTGGCCACTATGTCTAAACATTACTGAATTGCTGAATGCAATAAAGCAAATGCCCTGAGTCACAGCCACATTCTAATTAAA